ATGTACAACTCCATTAATAATATTCAGATGTGAATTTCAGCAACCCAGAATGACTTTTTCATCTTCAGTATTCCACAAGGTAATTAGTTAGATCACTGTTGGAACCGAAGATGTTAATTCTCATCAGAATGAATTTATAGCTCAAGTAGTATATCAGGATAAATAAGGAATTACACTTAAAGTTTTTTGTATGCTTTCATGATGCTAATTTTATACTAGACCCTTCAAAGTTTCACTTTTGGCTCACTTAGGTTAAACTCTCAGGATGAACGTTTTAAACTGATGTTAATTTCTTTGAGATATTTCTTTAAACATACTCGCTCTTCAAATTCATATTATGAAGTTGACCTGTATGTGATGGTCAGTATTAAGTTTAGTTCAGTTAGTGATGTCTCCTTGTCAGTTTATTCCAACATTTTTTTTACTGACTACTGATAACATTTTGATACTCTATAAGGGTTTTCAAAATTTCAAGTTGAAAACGGATTTGTTGTTCAGTTCGTTTTCACAATTATATTTAGGCGTGTTGCTGCGATTGCCATGTTATTACAGTGTTTAGATATTATGAAACTGACTACTTAATTGATGCCGCTGTCTCTTAGTAACTATGTCGTCACTGTTTTACTTAGAATTACCTTTTGGCGGTTACTATATTGGGCTATTTTACTTCAGGATGTTGCTGTGCAAACTAATCGTTCCAGATTTTTATCATTGAAATTGGAGCGTTTTCCCTACTTTTTAGGAACGTTCACTGTTGATAACCGGTAATGAGTTGCATAATTTTTGCATTTCCAATATCATTACTATTTTAGACGCAGTTGATCACTTTGGAGGAAATCGAATCAGCCTGACTTTTTACACGAGTAGAATAATCTCCACTGGATGGTTGGGATATCTTACCTATTATAACAGTTTGGATTTACTAAATGTTATTGTGCTTACATTCTGTGCCTGATGGAAAACTATTGTTTAGGTATATTAAGTTTAGTTTTTATTCACATTTTTTCTAATATCACCTCTTCTATAACTTCTTGTACGTCTGGACACGTTATTACAAGAATGCACCGAAATTCCTCAAATTCTGAATTTTGCATAAGCAGATTTGGATGGTGTTGCCATGGTAACATTTTCGTTATATTGTCGAGATGACAAATATGCGAAATCTTAAAAGTTGGAAGAGAGAGTATATTTGAACAAAGATATAGATAAAGGTATATGAGGTTAATGAATTGACTGTCTGGATAAAGTGAAGTGAAGCACCCAACACTCCAATGAGAAACGGAAAGAAGCCGTAGTATAAAGTATAAGTTCTCGTAGGGATGCAGGACTCCACTTTTCGATCTATGTGATGTAGCAGGGTACCCAGCAGTCCTCCTCAATTATTGAAGTGATCTTCTGCTAAGGTAGTTCAATGACACTCTCTTGTACTTTTCGAACAGAATATCGGCCCAACTCATATAGTCCTTTAGCTCGTTTAACCAACAAAATGGCTCCTTTTAGTGTACAGAAGGTAAATGTATTGGGATTAGATCATTTTTTATCACTTTCATATGTTGAGGTCCCAACTCGAAAACACGATGGCCTTGTACTATTGGATATTCATTTCGAATGGAAGGTCCTATGCTACTTTGAATAAATGATATTAACATGCGACTGGATGACTGCCATGTAGAAGTCATCTTAGATATTTTAAGAGAAGTTTTCTTAGGCTAAAATTTCGAATGACCTATATTGAAACTAGTGATATATAGTTCTATAGAGATCCAATCACGATTTGGACGTATCAGCAGATGATGTTGCGGGGTATTCTGAAAAAGGATTTGCTGGTTTACGACTGGATTAAACGAAAAATTTCCTGGAGCGAACGTTTCGATCTTGGCTTCTGAACTTAATAAATCGTGCTTCCACATGATCAGTCCTAGGTTGAAACAGTCGGCAAGACATCGTTAGGAAAACCAACGGTGAGTTCACGATAGGTAAATATCAGATAACCTGTAGACCTATAATCTGTTAGTATAAATATGTTGAGGTATCTCAGTCATTTTTAAACAGGTAAGGAAAACGTTTTATTTCAACTTGTTAAACCAGCACTAGAATGTCATTTTCATACTTCAAACGATCACTTACTGCCAGATCGCCCGATATTTACTGAATCCAGCTTGTTGATCTCGAAGTTAGACATCTACTGAAACTTTCATCCAGTTCAGAAACACTGTGTTGAAAACTTTTCTTGCTACCATCAGTAATGTGATGCCTTTGTAGTTCTCAAATTTGCTCAGATACCGTTTCTTTCGTATCTTGATGAAGTGTCCTTCTTTCCAGTCTGATGGGACTTGATCTCCCTCCCAAATATGTCTGTATGAAATGTGGCGCATCTTCGCAATCACCTTCATGTCTAACTTCAATCGTCGAGTTGGTATGCTTTGTGGTCCTGATGCTTTATCGATCTTAAATAATTTGATGCTCACACCCATTTCTTCGACTGTTGGTAGGGTAACACCTATAGGAAGATCTGTAGATGTTGCTTCGACATCCGATGGGTTCAGTGGAGCTGGTCTATTCAAGAGTTCCTCGAAGTGTCCTACCCATCTGGTCAACTGCTGTTGAATCCCACTTATTATCTTGCCTTCTTTGTACTTGACTGGTCTCTCCAGTTTACTATGTTTCCCTACCAGTTTCTTCTTTGTGTCATATAGTTGTCCCATATTCCATTCTCTTTCAGCCTGTTATGCTGTCGTTACCAGGTCTTCCACGTATTTCTGCTTCTCAGCTATAATGCCCCTCTTCACTTGCTTGTTTGCTTCAGTGTATTCAGTTCGCACATTGACATCCTCTGTTCTTGTTCCACTGTTGTTAGTTGCTGTCTTCCTGTTCTTCCTTTCTTGAACCTTGTTCGGGTTTTCGATAGAGATCCATTCCTTGTGATGATACTTCTTGCGGCCCAGTACCTCCTGACACATTGAAGTTAGTGCTTCATTGATCCCTTTCCAGTTTTCCTCCATAGTAGTTTTATCTTCTTCAAGTAGATATTGTCAGGCTTAGTACCTGTTTTTGAGAGCTATCTAAAATTCTCAGTTAATCAGTATTTCGATGGAAGGCCGTATTGAACCTTTGCAATGCTGTCTCCCAAGTTGTCCGGTATTTATCTAGCTTCAGTTTCATCTTGGTCCCAACCAGTTGATGGTGATCTGAAGCTATGTCAGCTCATATCCTGATTCTCACATCTTCCATTGACTTCCAGAATTCTTTTATCGATACAAATATGATCTATCTGGTTCTCCATGGTGTGGTCTGGTGATTTCCATGTAGCTTCGTGTATGCGATTGTGTGAGAATATTGTGACGCCTACAACTACTTTGTTGTCCCATACTATATTCATACCCGGTGTTGTCCATTTCCAGTTTTGGTGTTTATATATCCCACTGGGATGTTCAAATCCTACCCTGGTCACTTCATTATGATTGATTACAGCCTTTCGTAAAACTGATCTTCACCGTTATCATTGATGGACGCATAACATTCATTATGATCCCCTCCTTCCTTGTTTTGAAGGACACTTTGATGATCCTGGATCCATGAGATTCTCATCCAATAAGTTCATTTCGTGCCTCCTTGGACACCATCGAAATAACTTCCTACACGTGTTGAGCATTTTTTCTTTGGACCAGAGTACAACAATGTCTCTCTCAAGTCTATCCCTTTTGTTCAGCTTCGGTACAATGGGTTTTACTTATTCCAAGCACCATCAAGTCGTATCTCCTCATTTCCGTGGCTATTTGACTGGTCCTCCTGGTCTCTCACATTGTCCGAACATTTCATATACCTATAAAAATAGTTGTTCTGGTTGTTAGAAGGGGCATCAGCCCAGTGACGTTCGAAGGTTCTCATCTTTCACTATCATGCTCTTCTAGTTTATGTAAATAAATATCCTTCAACTCCCTAGGCAGAGTTAAAATGGTTTAATTGTTTATTCTGATTGGCGTCTTTTAGTAAGAATTTTTTCTACCGGATGTGATTGCCGACCTCACGCCCAACCCTTCTCCTTTATCTGAACCTGCCACTGGCAGTAAATCTAGAAGACTTATAGGCCGTGGTAAGTAGATGTCATAGTTTGAAGTATTTAAATGATAGTAAAAGCTGTGGATCCCAGAAACAACGTAGATTGACCAAGAAATTCTAGATGAGCACAAACGCACGCATTGCATTCGGAATTCGAAATCAGGTAGTCATCAAGTACAAAGGAATCATTAGTTTATACGAACACCACAGCAGACAAATATTCGAACGTTACAAGTGAATTGCAACAAAGTTTTAATTATGTCACACTGTTGTCATTATGGTTTGCACACCCGCGTCATAAATGTAATGTCTTTGTCCTAGATTGTCGTTTATAAGGTAACCGCTCAACGGTCATTCTTGGTTCTAAAGTCATTACTTACTATAACTACCAACCATATATGAATAACAATCTAGGACAAAGACATTACATTTATGGCGGTCACTAGCTTGTCCTACCGACATCGTTCCGTACATGTGCTCACACTTCCCTCATCAAAAATTTGTATGGGTAGATCATAAGCACAAAATTGAAACAACGTAGGCCCATTGAGGTATTCTCTGAGAATTCATAGGTTCTCATGATGTTGAAGAACTAATTAACTCAACAACTTACCATCTATTAATATAGTCGGTAATTCGATCTCTAACTTTACGAATAATTCACTCTAAGACTCATGTGTGAAACCATATCAGTCACTTATTTTGATGCCTATAAACATTACACCAATGGCAGACATTCTAATCGTCATTGAATCCAAATCTTATTTTTCATTGAAATTGGTTATATATAAAAAATGCTCGAAAACCATATTCTGTGGATAAAAATTTCTCATCAAAGACTTGAATAAGGCTTGTTACTGAAATCGAAAACCTACAGAAGGATTCTTAAAGGTGAGGAACATAATTTTTTGAATTGAGGACTTTCAAATGACATATGAAACATTGAGACCAATGTACTGTTGAGGCGCACTTCCTGAAATCTGTGTCTTCATATGGTTTTCATCATTATTATTTAAGATATCACCATTGTTTGGGATATATAATCGCCAATGCATGACATCTCTAAGTTTTCAGACAACTTAAACTTTCTGGATCTGCTTGCAACCGTTCGTGCCGATCAAATTCACTCAGGATCAAACAATACGCGCACAGGACCGTATTTGATACGATACTCCACATTCCTCAACCACTTACAAAGAATTGCTATACATTGTGGTCTTCAATTATCTTCAGGTCCGTGCTCGGGTGGTGGAACGTCTGCTGGAGCATTAGTGTGGAGATTAACATCTGAGTGCTTTGCAGTAGTAGTTGCTGCAACTAATAACTCTATCACAACTTCTGATTCGACTTATAATAACTCACCAGAATTGACGGATCTTATCTCTATTGCCGCAGTTTATTTCGAGTTTAATCATGATAAAGCTGTGGTGAGTATATCATATAATCGTATTAAAATTTCCATGTATAATTCTTTTATCAGCTTTTGGAGATTAAGGCTGTCTATTTATATCGCTATTTATTCCAAACAAGCTCAGAGTTCCGGATTTGTGAATTTTGAAACGATTTTGCTAGATTTATGCCTGCAAGATAAAGTATTTAACACTCGAAAACATGTGAATTTCTGTACATAGGTTGCATCCATCTCGTGTAGTTGATCACCAAGTTTCATCCTAGTGGTGATGGTTTAACTAACGGGAGTCTGCGCTCCACATTAAGCGACTCCAAAGCTGAAAACTGGGACGGTCTTCTGCTTACTTGTTTATTGTATACATACTAGTTTCCGAGATTGTGACTTCAGGCTATGATTGAGATAAGAGGTTTTTATGAACAACTTGTTTATTCTTATGGATTTGCGTGATCATATTTGCCACCTTAATTAACAATGGTCCCATTGTTCATCATTTCCTTAACAGTTTATTCAAAGGCCCAAAATTTACTTCACTCTAAAATGTTTGGTTGCACTTAAGTATTTTTCAAAATAAGATATTCCGTCGAAGAAACTTACAACATCGCGAATATCAGTCAAAAAGTGGGGCGTGTGCTCGATAGCTCTTTATTCCATTACTATTAACTATAGTAATATCAAACATTGGAGAGTAAAATTCGGAGAAAGGACGAATTCACTCACTAAAGAGCATAAAATAATGCCAAGGTCGAGGGCAGATTGAGTAAATGCATCTGCGTTGCTTTGGTCGATACTGATCCACTTCATCTACAGACTCCAACCACTAACCACGATTATTTGCAGATTCCAGTCAGGTAGTTTGGACTTTCTTAGACTGCTCAGTTCAGTCTATTCCTACTTCTAACCCACGTCGAGTCATGTGATGGTCAGGTACGCTTGACGCGTGCCCCCGACATCTCATATTTATTCATATAAAAACAAGGATATGTGTAACTATTCGAGGTAATTTTGTATGTATTAAATTAGCTTCATAAGAGTTACGATAGCCGGACAGACAATAAACGATGTGGAATTCACAAACGTGTCTATCCAAGTTTCCACATTCTACTAATATTTTAAAAGGGAATCAACAAGAGGAACCCTAAGGTAGTAAAATTAATCATTAGTTGAGACCTAATGATGTAAAGAGTAAAATGCGAAGGCATAAAATGTAAAACATATTTAAAGCTAATCAAATAAAGAATTTTTTGGTTGAGATCATGAATCAATTGATGTTAGACCACCATTGGAAACCTGGAAGCACTGGACGGCCGTTTCGTCCTAGTATGGGACTCCTCAGTAGTGCGCATCCACGACCCCGCGAGCGGGATTCGAACCCAGGACCTACTGGCTTCGCACCTGAGCACTTAACCATTAGACCACTGAGCCGGCATCCAATGGTGTTAGTGTCTAACATCAACTGATTCTAACATCAATTGATTCATGATCTCAACCAAAAACTTAACAATCTCCACAACCCTCATACTGATAATTAACATGCGCTCACTAGTGACTAGCTTTGTGAGGGAATTCTCGGAGTTCTAGTGAGAAGTCGTGACCAGTGGAGCTAATCCGTGTCGGGTAGAGTCACGTATCTACCTCAGTACAATGGAAGTTGGTCGCGCAATTTCGTGGATTGGTTGATGTTAGACACTAACACCATTGGATGCCGGCTCAGTGGTCTAATGGTTAAGTGCTCAGGCGCGAGGCCAGTAGGTCCTGGGTTCGAATCCCGCTGCGGGATCGTGGATGCGCACTGCTGAGGAGTCCCATACTAGGACGAAACGGCCGTCCAGTGCTTCCAGGTTTCCAACGGTGGTCTAACATCAATTGATTCATGATCTCAACCAAAAACTTAACAATCTCCACAACCCCCATACTGACAAATAAAGAATTCCGAAAGGTAGAATAATGCTATGTCCATAATTGAAAGGGAATTGTGTTTTGAATGCATCTGCGTCACTGCCACCCAATATAAACCCCGTAAGTTCTCAGATAGTTAGATAACGTACAATGTTTTGTGTCCCAAAATGAATAAATATAGTTTCTTAACTAATCTCGGATCGTCCTTCGTTAATGTTTGACTGAGGTTCAGCTATCACCTGTCCAAATGCATTACACTTAGGAGCACCGGAATTTAATAACATTGAGGACAATTAAGCTTATGTATAACATTAGTCGGTAGTCATAAACTCATGGTATTAGTCGTTTAGACGTGGTTACACTGGTCTGAAACATAGGTCGATATAATTGTGTCAGATCCTACGTCCATAAGCGAGAAGGATCTTATACATTGGCAATGTAATGAGGATAACTAGAATAGTGGCTACTTTGTGTTTAGTTTATTGCATTTCACAAGAGGGAAAGTCATCCCTTTAGGGGTGTATTTAGACATCGGTTCTCTTTCTCCAAGTGCAAAATTTCGCTCCTGATCTGACCTGTGTCATTGCCTAAATTAATGATAGGAATTGAATTAGCTGAGTGTATCGCCCACTTAGCTCTGGAGTCTCATCAGTCCTGATAAGCTGGTGTCTGACGAAATCTCGACATGGATTCAGAAAGTTCGGTTCTATCTTACCAACTTGCGTCTCGTGACGGTAAAATATCCATCTGCCAGCCAAAGGATGAGTTTACTGAGCAACAGTCCGATTTGTTTCACTTTATGAATGTGGAACATGGTCATTAATAATAGAGGTTATTCGTAGGGTACCAGTATTCAACCACAGATGTCCTTGTATCGTTGCTTGTGTATTTTAGGATCACCAATTAAGTAATGTCTGGGTTAAGGATAAGGTACTAGGTAGGGACGGGAAATCGATTAATGAGGTAGTAGGTCTCCATTGATTGAGGTAGTTGAGACATGTATTACATATCCCTACCCACCACTTACCTCGTTGGACGATGTCTGGTTGGATGAAAGCTAGAGGCGGCCAAACCAAAGCATAGCATCAGTTCATGAAGTCACTGACAAATGAGCTGGGCCTTGTTAACGGGTGTATATTATCTTGTTGGGATCCACGAGATTATCGTAACTAATGATTAAAGGCCCTGAATGATATGGTTCAGGCTCATCCACTCTATATTTTCTTAAATCCTGAGTTTCTAAATTCGTCATAATCTTTTTATTTCAATAATTTCTTTCTTGAATCGTATCTTCGACGCTCAATCTTTTATAATACCTCTGATATTGTTCCTACTATGAGATTCTTCCTAACAATTTCATGTCACTGCCCCAATGAGATGTAGCAACGTCAACCGATGTAAACGTACCGGGTTTAACGCATTTTGCTGACTGCATTTAGAACTATGCTTCAAAGTCTGCCCACCAGATACAGGGCTATAAATCTCAAACGTTTGATTTTTTGTAGTATATCTTTCTTTTTGCGGTAAAGACTTCTATAGTGTTTATTTCATTCGTACAGCCTTGTCCGGAGCTGGCCACTGATCTCAGTATGGGCAAATATAGTTCATTACTACAGCATGTAGATAATCTTCTGACGATATATGCAGTTCCGGGTGATAAGTAAGTTATTTTGTTATCTGTAATAATACATCAAATTCTTATTTTTACATGGAGCCGTATGTAATCTAGCAAGTAACTAATATGCGTGAACTGGATTTGGAATTGATGAACTAGCTCCTTGTTAAATCATTAACTTTTCTTGTCGTTTTGTGTGAGGTATTACATTTTCACTTTGTTTTCTACAATCGAGTTGTCGTAACCATAACGTATCTTGTTACTTTGGTGTGAACCACAATGAATATCTCATTGTAATATAATTCAGACCGCCATACTATTTCTCTTAGAAAGTCACGTCACGTTATTAGGTATAGTGTTTTGGGGATTGTAATCGTCGGTTACTGAATGAAGATAAATTTCTTTTGAGAATCCAGAAATCCTTTGATATTTTAGTCTCCATAGTTATGACAGTGGTATATATATAACCGGCTTTGTCTCTTCCATGTCTGTAACTTTCCTTGCAAAATCAGTAGTTAAGTAAAATACTGATTACAGAAGTTCTGCTTAAAGTAAGTGAAGGAAATGTGTTTCTCCCATCTGCACTTCATTTAAGCAATTAAAACTTAAGGGGTAGAGTAAATATAAACCGTGGGAATTGTTTTTAATAGTAATGATAATTTTGTGAGTTTCCAGTGAATTAGGAAAACTAACGATTTTTTTTAGTTTATCTGTTTGATTTTCATGCTTATTTAAATACAGAGGATCGTAATGCCGTAATTCAATCGATAATCTAAGCTATATTTTGCGATTCTACTCCCTATTAAAATAGGATTAATTTTTAATTCATACGGGTTTGTTGTAAATTGATATCTGTTGTTTATGTGAGTGACTGATTCGTGTAAAAGAACCGGAATATATATATATTTCCTAATACTTATCTCGTGATTATAAACATTTATAGCATAAGATTTTAGCTCACTTATCTCAATATGCAACTTCTGTTGACTGGATCTCAGGTTCAGTTTCCATTTACTCATCTATTACAAATACGAAAGGAATGGCTCAAAACAGTGTGCCATAACCTAGTCAGTCATTTTTAGTGATTACGGGGTTTACTTAATTGTATTCTACTCTTAAACTCCTACCACCTGAGCGTTCTCCTTCACTTTTATGTTTGTATCACTAGTCAATGAGATGGTATTATCCTTTCGTTATTAATATATATGTTACCTATTTCTTATCTGATAGGTTTCTGTGGTTGGCTTGTTTTCATTGGACAAATATTTATTTTTAATCATTCTGTATTATTAATTGATACTATATTTGTGTTTTGAAAACAAACTAAACTGAAAATAAATTTTGTTAGTGTTCTAAATATAACTCCTCAAAATTAAATTGTCAGTGTTACACATCAAAATTCAGCCAAGTATGTGTAGTTAAAATAAATCCTGCACTGTTTTAAATGATACCTAAGTTAAGTCAGCTAATCATGCATTATCAGTTGAGTGACTTTGATTTCCTTGTCAATTGAAAGGTCTATATTTCTTTTCTATTTCTTTTTAAGGATTGATCGTGCTCGAACCTACTTGTGTTTACAGGCTCTTGAGAAAGACTTGAGTATGCTGACTCAGGCAATGAGAACTGACTTAGAAAATAATATTGATGCCATAAGTACATTTAGACGAGCACCAAATCAGAAACATGATGTATTTAGTATGCGTGACCTAGTAAATCGTTCACTTGTTGGACACTTTGTTGGACGTACAGGAGGCCGGCTAGCTAGACTTACTTACCTAGTCACATCTGCACAGGCTATGATCAGTAATGCAACTGGAGTAATAAAGAATAATTTACAAATGAATTCAAAAAGTACATATTCATCTAGTATTGGGTGCGGATCTCGTGATGGTCTTATTGGAGGCTATATGGCACGCATCGGACTTTGTCCTAGATTGTCGTATGTAGAGGATACTTCCGCAGTTGCCCAGTCTACAGTTCAACGACTTCCATTTATGCCTTTAGTGACACTACAGAAAGATGCTTATGGTATAAGGTGAGTAATTCACTCTGATAATCATTACTTTCCGTTTTTTGATAAAAAAATTGATGACATGTTTGAACAGCAAGTGATTTTTGCTTCCACAGACACATTTGTGAGTGATGAGTAGAAAACGCTGACTGGCTTTTCACAGAATTCAAAGCTTATAATATTTTCACAATTCGAATGCCTTGTATCCATTTAGATCAATCTGTAAGATAAAATAACCCATTCCATGGTATCAATAATTCCTGTCCGCTTTTATCTATCTAGTGTTGGATGGAAACGATGCAGTTCTATTCTTCTTTTTGCGTGAAGCTAAATTACAAATGGGTCCGGTCGTTTATCATCTTAAGTTTATTTTAAAACCATATTTCTTTCCACTGAGTCCGTTTAATACAAACTACTTCAAAATCGTCTGGATTTATATCCGTGTTCTTCGTTTAAGAGTCAGTTGTTTGTTTCGCTGGCTCCCAGAAACTGGAATTTTACTCGTGATTTATGGATAATTTTCTCGTGTCATGACAAAATTACACTATAAAATGAGATTTGTGTGGATATTTTTCAGTTTCGAGTTCATACTATTTTAATAATATGATAGAGTTACATGTACGGTTTGAAGACTTCATCTACCTTGAAAATTGTGTTTTATATCCTTATTTTTTCATACTTATTGTTTCCCTGCTATTTTTTCTTTAGTGTTCCTCATTTCGCTCAACCAGATGAAATCAAGTGTATATCAATTGAAGCTGAATTCGTACTACATCTAGATCCTCCTTTACCAATCTCAACAGATGCAATTCAACAACTTGAGCGTACTACAGGTAAACCTCTTCTCCCCTTAAGTGCCTCCATTTGACTTGTAGTCTCTATCATACTTTTTGATTTATAGTATTATTTTAGGATAGTTATTAGTTGTATTTTTTTCTCTTTTAATGTAAAGGTTTAAGTAATACAGAAATCATAGATCAGAAAGAAGAAGATATAGTTTTATTGATTTTACGGAAATATAAACAAGAACACTTGTATGGAATAAACACACATTTAGTGAGTAAATGTTTATGTAAATTTTTCGAATACATTCAGTATATTTTTTTAGAATTTAGTATCTATATAATAATATAAATATTTAAGTTAAATGATACATAAAGTTTTTTTTTTACTGCAGTCAAAATAAGAAATGTTTGTAAATTAATATTTCCCTTGATTATTTAGTGTTAAAATGTGCTTGTGAATCCAGTTGTACATCGAAAAATTATCTATTAAACTTGGTAATAATTTGATACCTGAAATAAATCAATAAAAAAACCCTCAAAACTATGACCGATTTAGTCACTATCATAATCACGGGTATCCTATTTAATTTTTATTTGATTTTCTTGTCATTTAAATAGCTCTTCTATTTCCTTGGAAGATATTGATATCTATGATTATTCAACAAAGTAACTTAATCGTCACAAAGGTTTAGCTTTCAAACATTGGGTCAAATGTTCGAAACTGAACTAGATCCATTTTATTTTGTGCTACCTCTTGATCAGTTATGAGAATCCATTAACATTTTTAACCAGCTGATTTTACAGTGGGACAAGATATAAAGTAACTTAAACTATATATACATGGTGACTTTATATTTGTTGCATTCATAAAAATCATGTTAGATAACATTTATTTCAACTATAAGTTTAGATTCTAGGTATTGATATAGCTTTGTACACAATAATTAATGTATATTGTTTTATTTTCAGTTCAGTACATCAACTCTAATTTTATTTTTTTGATTGTTTGGTTTTATCTAGCAAAACCCAAATATTACACAACATAGTTATCAAATTAAGAGTGATGTCAAAGCCTATCTTGTCAGCTCAGTTCCATTTACATGTTCAGATCAAATTGGTGAAATTATTTCTATTCTTCGTAAACAAGCATCAGCTTTAGCGTTTTATGAAACATTTATTGTTCATCCTGATAAACCAGTGGAAAAAGGTAAGTTCACACAATTGTTTATAGTACACAACCCAACTTTAGGTTCTAAATATTTTTCTGACCATAATGACTATTGAATTTTAAATTGTGATTATCACATGTGAATAGATGTGCATTGAAATTATCGAGATCACAAATCAAATGGTGTTTGTTTGCAAACTATAAAGCAAAAGTCCATGGAGTAAAAATGTCGAACCTCTGAGTGTTAGTTTGTTTTATATACAGGTGTCTAAATCTCCTGAATAAGGTCTTTAAAATGGTCAGAATCACTGGTTCTATTACTTGGAGTGATATATCTTTAAATATTTTGTCAGTCAGTTAGTCTTTATCAACGTAGGATGTGTCACTAGTTTGTTCTTGTCTAAGTTGTCACATCTCACATCAGCATAACGAAAGAAAATCGAAAGAGCAAGAAGCATAAGATGGAAGATAATACGAAAACAATCGAAAATACAGTTCAAATGGAATAGTTGCAATCAAAGGATGAAGATTTAAGAAATGATACTTAACTTCAGATTTGGCTAAAGAAAATAAATGCAACTTTGTTGCTATGATCGATTTGTAGATGGCATCAAACTTATTTAACGATGATTCTGATTATTGTTTGTGACCCAGCGAGGAAGTTTTCGCCTTCCGACATAGTTCAAATCATGTCTCGATTTGCGCATTCCTAAATTTCCTCTAACCTACTCCTATGTTAGTCAGGATTACATGTCGGGGTAGTCAGCGGTTAAATAGTTAGCAGTTTGGAACCTTATTATGTTTAGTTATCTTAGTATCTTAACCGTTAATATGCATAGTAATGCTTATTTTGTTTCTTCCAGATGACGCTTTAACGTTCTCGTTTAATATTAAAATCATGGGTGGGCAGATGATTTCACTAGAGTTTGATGATCCTAATCATCTGGGAGCGAAAATTCATGGTAAGTAGTTCTTCAAAGATAGTAAAGTACCATCAATATGAAACACAATAAATTCAGGGTGTAATGTACTCAATGCATAGTTTTTACAAGTGCACTGTGAAAATGTGCAGAAAAGTGGGGATTAAAATTTTACAAAATTTATCATTAAATTTACGGTAAAGTAAACAGATTTTTTTCATCTGGATCCCATTTAAAATTGATACGTGTTAATAATGTGGCAGTAAATTCGATTTCTACTATTACGGACATAGTCGATTTCTTATCCTCCTTTTTAACTGCTCCCGAGATGTTCAATTTTAAAAGGTTAGGTTTTTTTGAAAACTTAAAAGATAAGAGTAGATTAACATCGATTGAACACGGATACATTTACAATGCTCTTCAGTCAATCAATCATATAGAACATCGAACTTGACACATATGTGCATCGGTTCAAGTTATCACACTGCATTAACACTGCAAAGTAAATTAGTCAAAGAATATCTCAGAGTGGTAGAAGCAGTAACGATATCAGTACTGATATAAAAGATTAGTCATAGAAGGTATGATTCTAGCAGAAAATATGGGTTTTGTGGAACTAAAAAATAAGATAATTTAGATACTAAGGATCTTAAGGAAGGAAAAAGATGGGTTTTCTTACTCCCTCAGGACTAAATTTGACATTTAAACAGCAACTAACCGTCGTCTTTAGATGAGACAACATGAAGAATCCCTGATGGGGAGAATTTTGTTTGGAAAACATGAAAAATTCAGATCTGCAAGAAATAAATAACGGGAGATGATACAAAAAGTTTTTGCTGATTAAACCTTCTTGAAGAACTATACTAATGAAGTTATTAGTCTAACCTAAGTGTAATGTTTAATTCGAACACATGCTGACTTAAGTTCCTCCCTTAACAACTATTGAGAAATCGTCAGAAATGATATCCTTACAAACGTTAATTTTTGAAGTTACGAGTTAAACTAACATTTTATTAGTTGCTCTATATGCCATGAGTTAAGTACTTGATTTTGTTTTAATAATTTGGTCTTATGATGTAACCAATCACTGTCTTATTTACTTCTTAGCTTCTTTACATGTGCGTCCGTTCGATGTCCAGTGCCTGGAATTAAATTATTTTTCAAATACACATGATCGCTTGAATAGTAACTGTCCAAGTAATGAAAAAGAAGTAGATGTCATGCAACTGAATAAGCTAGACATAGAGTCTGGAGGTAATCTCAAAGCTAACTTCAGCAAAATTCTCACAAAAACACATACATTGCCAATTGGTTTTGTTTGGTTACTAACTCAACTCCAGTGTCCTGTTCATAAAAAGTTGGTAAGCATGAAGTTGCCTGTAACCAATTCATATAATAGTACTGAGAATAAGGAAAGCTATTCATCAGTCAGTCAAAATCAGTTGACTTCGTTAAGGACAATGCTTAATCGTGTTAAATCATCTATTATAATCCGTGGGGCTAACGGTACTGGTGGTGTACTTTGTGGTGGAGATCGAAAAGTTTCATTGGATTTTGAATCTTCCTCATCATTCGCTGCAGCACAAGTATTTGCTTTAAATACACCAAACTATTTGAACAGTGCTAAAAAGATACCTCCTTTACCTCCAGGTGTCATGGCAACACCTCCTCCTGCGTTTACTCATTTGGACACAAGCTCAAGTATGTTGTTGTCGTTGTCTTTTGTGGGTTTAGAAACGCTGATTATAGTAACGAAAACAAGTTCAGTTTATCAAATACAGTTATGTTTAATACAATAGGGGATTCCTAGCATAAAATATATCAACATGTTCCTCATAATCGTCATTTACATTACTATATATATTCTCATACCGTGTTCGTCACATATTTGTGCTAGATAGGGTATTAAAAACTTGTCGATTTGCATTTTTATGAGTGGACTTTTATGTAGCTGCGTTTCGTTCTTTTAGAGGCTATTAAGTAGAGAAGTCGTAAGAGAAAACAGTGGTTTGTATTTAATAAAAAGCAATTGCAGTTATTTTTCGGATTTAAAAGAAATCCGTGCAACCGTATTATAATAAATACCAAACCATCAAAGTGATTAATTCAAGTTGATATCAATTATTGTATTGTGACGTTCACTGTACCTAACCACAAGTTTGTAGATCTTAATATTAATAATGTAGTGTTGCTTTCTCATGTAGGCAGTCATTCAGGTATAAAGAAGGTTAAGTACAATAAGCCCTCAAATATCCTTAGTTGATAGAAGCCAGGTTTCCCAAACACAATTATAAACTGGTTGTGTTCTGCAGCTAAATCTACCTTTTCTTCAATTTTGATTACAATAAAAGTGAGGACCGCTGTGCTTTTTTACTAGTTGCTGCATCAGCTATTTCATTTGATAATTCCATACATTAAACAAATATTTGGCAACTTTTAAGTGTTTAAACGAAACTTCCGAAAGAAACAGGCTTTTATTTAAGATAAAGAATAAATTAAGATGACATAGAATATCAATTTCATGAAAACCAAACTCCATAGAGACATAAGGTGATGTCATATTAGTTTGATTATAATAAAGTAACTAGGGTTTATAAAATGGATTATTCTCATATTCTCCCCCTTCGATCGTAACAGGATTGTTGAAAACTCATCTTGTTCAAAGGTAAAATGTTAGAAGTTCTTTCAGAATCCTGGTAAGGAGAGAATAACAAAAATTTTGAATCAAAATTGATGTCTCAGACTCAATCTATTGTGTAAATTACAATTTTTTAATTTATGTAGTCCAGGGCTTACTGGTAGTATATTCTTTTGTATCTCCAGCATTAAAAGTTTCAGTTACTGATTGCCTATATTTTGACCATTAAACTTTGCTATGCATTGTTAAAAATATTTATCTAAATGTTTCTTTATAACTATATTTAAAATATTTTACCCATTAAACATATCCTTAACAGGTGACCTTGGTATTATATCATCGTTGCGACCTGTGAACTCTCAAGGCAAATTACGTGATGTGCATTCCAATTCCAGTTTACCAGCTGTCTCAACTAATCCATCTCGTGGGTTAAGGCTGGATGACTTATTAGTTGATAGTACATTTCAAACACAACAACAGTTACAGCAGCGTAATCCACCTCCCATTTCTTTTTCCCACTCGTTACCAAGCTATGTATCGCCTATTCCTGGGACACATACTACGTCTTTGGCGGATGTGAAGGAAGCGTATTCTGATATGATTAATCCCAACATTTCTACATCAAATTATCTTTCATTACCTACTATTCATTCCTCACATAAGTATGGATCGTCTGTTTTATCCGGGTCAAATAGTATCCCTTCGAATTTGTACAATTTACCTCCTATGTCTGTTAGTGCTTCCAATTCAGAGGCGACAAGTTCATCTGCTGTAGTCAAATCCAAAAGTTTTACTGGTAAGCTTCTAATTAACAGTATATTTAAATGTACATTTCTTTACTAAAGCATGCTTAGTCAAAATTAAATGGATCTCACTGAAACTTTTGTGGCTACTAACACTGACCGGCAATTGATTACAATTCAAAAGCTAATGAATCATTAGTTTGAATCGTTAACAAGGGCATTATTAAATTGACTACCGCTTGAGATCAACCAGATTCTTTAGTTTGAGTTATATAAGTATGCAAAGTATTCATCAATTAAAACACAATTGTATGAACAAAGAATATTCTTTTCAATAATTTCTCATCAGGCTGAGAAATTATTGAAAAGAATATTCTTCGTTTATACAATTGTGTTTTAATACAATGGGAATTTTTCAGCGATTAAAATCTTGTATTCATCAATTAATTAATAGGGTAGTTTTTTAATGTAAATATAATTTCCATTGAATATTCAATCGTTTATGGCTTAGTAGTTGTGCTGCAGATACTTGCAAAATGAACAGTAACCGCATTCGCCACTTCTCAGTTAAACCATTGAGTCTTTAATTCATTATTTTAAGATTAGTTCTCATTGTGTATCAGTTGTTGACATAATTACAGCTTGTCTTTTAGAACTAACTTATTTCTTATCAGCGATGGTAAAAAATGTGACTTTAGGTGATATTTCCCATTATACCACTAAGTACTTAGTCAGTCATAATCAACGTAGAGTTTGCCAGAAGTATACTTTAGCCCGAATCGCCGTACCACATCAACACTATAATTTAACGTTCAATTTGATCCCCACCGGAATCGAATTGGATAAATGAATGGTCAATGGGCTTATCTTTGATCCTGAAAGATCCTACTTTTAAATTTTGAAGTGGTTATGGTTGTGTACTCCTTAAATGAATTAGATCGACAATGAAATAGTCCATATTTTATTTACTCCTAATGATTTTTCACTTAATATCAAATTTTGATAGAAGTTGGGTTGAAGTTTCTAGTTTTTATCTCTACATTCACATTACTGATAACGAAACGTTATTTTTTCTTACTTTTAGCCTCACCGGTTAGCGATAACTCCAGAGCTCCATCAACAAGCGGATCTATGCTTGTTAATCTTTTAAACGAAGATTCACTTTCTACTTCTATTCCTTTGGTGTCTCCATCCAGTATGACAGATCGTCACCACTACAATCCCAGTCATTCTTTAACAAATCTTCAGAATAGTCCCCTTACTTCAGCTGCGAGCAGTATAAACGTTTCTAATAGTCGACTTTCTGGTATGATGTTATCCAATAACTCTCAACTCCCTAGTTCAGATGCACAGTTACCCCAAGGGTGTGGGAAATCCTTAAGTTCATCTGCACCAAACCTTACTCCAAATAGTTCCCAGTACCCTTCCGTTCGTAACTCCAGCTTAATCACTCCTACTACTGGTCGTACCAAACATACAAGCTTAAAGAACAGTCAAGCTAGTTTAACTGTTAACCCCACAAGTAATCCTAAAAAACCTCGTAAAAGGCGTCGAGGAACGGTGGAAGGTAGTTTCCGATGCATTAGTAGTCAAAAAGGTAATACACCTGCTCCTGGTGTATATTCTAACTATCCCACTACAAAGCACCAGCGTGTCGACACCGTTTTACCGACTACCAGTATCTCATTGTCAGGAACCTACCAGCGCCCTACTTTTAATCAAACAAATTCAAATTTCCCTTCATGTTCACTGCCATATGTCCAACAGAGTTCGATAGCATCTACAGGGCAAAGTATCAACATGCAAATTCCTAACCCTAGTAAATCGGTTTATGACTTCGACGATAACCCCAGTTCAATGTTCGATGTCCCGGTCGGTAATATATCGTCCTCCAATTCCTTATCGTTTTCAAGCAGTTCTTCATTAACAAGTCCTAAATCTGGCGTATCTGTAAACCCATTACAGTCTGGTAGCCTTACAGTTAGTAATACTAATTCAATTTCGAATTTTCCTGTGACAACAATGATGTCATCAAATTCAAATTTAGAACGAACTATCGAACGTAAAACTAGTCTGAAGATGACGATAAAAACAATACCATCTCAACCAATTACTTCAACTCCTAAAGCAAGAGTAAACTTTAGCCAGAATGAAGTTGATAAATACAACAAAATCCAGTCTGCTCAATCAAATTCGACCCCTATTAATACATCGGACTCTGGAGGTACAGTTCATCCAGCTCAACCTTTGCCATCCGTTAAAAAACGTAAAAAACGTTCCGTAGAGGGCAAACCATCAGCATATATGTTACAAATGCTTCAACTTGCCAACTCCTCAATAAGTGGTTCTGATGCATCAGTTACCACCACTAGTGTTACTACTGGGGCTTCTGGAGTTCCTAGTCAGTCAGCAATTACTCCTCTTGTACTTAATAACTCTGGTTTAAAACAAATCAAGAGTACGAATAAATTAGTTGGTCATGGTTCTGTCTTAGTGAAAAAGGAACGTAAGCGTCGTTTAGGTCATGGCTTCACAGAGAAGACTCATTTTTCCTTCATTCCAAATAGTAATACTTATAACCAGGTACAAGAAACAGCTGACAATTCAAATATACCGAAGCTGATAAAAATAAACCGTGTTTCTCGACCACCAACTTCTGATGTACCCAAAGATAATCAAACGGGATCAGGTACAACTCCCAATTTGTATAGTAACTGTATTTCGATGTCCCCCAATTCATCATCAAAAAAGAAGGTTTCTGCACTTAATTCTACTCCGCTTGGGACTGGTGCTGGAACTAGTTCCGGGAGTGATGATATGGTTGCCAAGAGGTTGTTTTCTTCATCGGCTTCACCCTTAGTAAGCGGTGAAAAGCGCAAACGCAATCCAGAAACTTCGAAGCAGTCTAACAACTCTCAGTCTGCTTATTCTAATTCAGGTACCTCAAGTGATTCTGCATTTATATCTTCCCCCCTACTTCCTTCTACTAGTTCAGATCCACCTACCAACAGTAACACATCACGTAAAACACCTCGTCCATCATTACATGCAGCACCTAATTTACCTCGTGTTCCACATACTCCCACAAGTAAATCTCAACCTGTTCAACAAAGTAATACTCTCAACTATTTATCCTCCAGTTCAGCATGCACTGCAAATCCAGCTTCTGTAAGTGTTGTTGGTTCTTCATCTGGATTAATTAAAGGCTATAAGATCCCTAAAAAGAAAAGTACAACCACTGACTGTTTACCAAGTGTACCTTTATCGGACGCAAGTGGGGACAAGTCAGTTGGAATGCTGTCTACCACACTTCAGCAAATACAAGAAAGCATTTCATCCTATAGGGATACACCAGATTCTCAATCTCCAGAAAAATCTGACGAATCCAGTCTAACTATCGTTGAAAATATGTATCCAAGTTCTAACGATCCTAATCTAGAGGGCGTAGATCCAATAAATGCAGTTGTGTACAATGCAAATATCAATGATGCAGCAAATAATACTGATGACAATTCTTCAATCCCGTCCGATTCCGTTTCAGGCTTTACGGCCCCTAATACTGAAAGCTGTTCACAATCCATCCTTCATCCAATTTCACTACAGTCCAATTCGTCTGTTTCAGGACAATGTTCACAATCGTCACAACAGCAGTTTCCCCGTAAATCTTCAGTGAAAAGTATCAGTGATATTGTTGATAAATTACGGGCAAAATCTACGACTAGCATAACTTCATCTACTTCAACAATTATCAGTGACTCATCGAATATCGGAAGTTCTGACACAACAGCAATCACTTCATATGAAGCTAAAGATTCTACAATAAATTCAATGCTCTCTGATAATCCAAGCTGTGCCCGCAGTATAACTAAAAAAAATGATGAATTTCAAGACCAATGGAGAGACAATATCTTCGAGAAATTTTGTCCAAGGTCAGTTATACATATATAGTATCTCGTAATTCTAAATTCATTCTTCTCTCTAACGAATCTTTTTCATCAAGTTTTCTCGTTTTGTGTGTTTAGACAGTATTTCATTGACATTGACAATCATTCTTCATGCTATGTTTAACATATTTTTAAAAGGGAATAATGTTAATAAATAATCAATCATTCAATTATGAAAATCATTGATCATTGCACAAATGTGCGTCGGCTCAATTTGCTGCACTTCAAATCAACATGTTTTTATGAAATTAACCAAAAAAGCTTAAATAATTGTATCTATGGTAATAACAAAAAGACTAAACAATATGAATATAGTTTGATGAGAAGTATTCCGTGAAGGTATACATGAAGGAATATGTAGGCCTTAAAAAGCAAGGAAGTATGTTTGCACAGCTGCAACTGATTAGAGAATATTAGAGCATACTTGGAAGTGATAGTATCCAAACTATTGTATGTGAATAACATTAGATTGAAGTATATTGTTATCCATACTTTATGTTTAGCTGGTAAGAAATATGACTATATGTTGGCCATCTAAGTATTCACGATCAATTGTTCCCTATCTTGTAACAAACAATCCAGTAGAAAGTGATCCCATTTTCAGTCTTTAAGTTTTTTTTCCTTATTATGATAAAAATGTACAATTTGATTCAATGTTCTCGTGATATTAAGCAACATAGTGAAGCTAGCATTATATTTTTTACATTTTCACTCTCAACTAGCTAACCCAAAAAGTGTAATTCTTGGACTTTGTATTTCATGTGAATATCAAACACATTGTTTTTTCTCTTAACGGTTCTTTATCGTTATTGTCATGAGTTGTATGATGGATACGATACTGCCCTAATGCATAAACAAAAACAGATTGTTTCTGTAGAGAACTGTCTTCCATGCCTTTTACTTGGTAATCTAAACTGGAAAGCGATAGAGTAACGTCACCAAATGCATTTTCATGATAGTAGGTAATAGAAGGAGGTCGATGCCCTACCCATTTCTTTACAACCTTGGAGCTTATATATGATAATGGCTTTTGATGTCACGGTTCTTCAACACATCCAAGTAAAACCTCTTCATCAACCAACACAGTTTGGGCCACAGATATCCAATTTTTGTTCATACTTGTTCTATATTGCCCCTGCCAAATCGGAAGCTATGGTGAGTACTTTTTTATAAGAGACTACAAAAACGTTGATACATGGGAAAGTATCGTGATCCCTTTTTGCCCTCACTTGTACTAGTGCATTTTTGGGTCTCCTAGTACTTAATATCACTGACGAAACTATTTTCTTACGTAGCTAAACTGGTAAATTTCCACGCGGATATGTAAGTTCGTGCTCCATAATTTAAAACCCACCTAATGGGCAAAGCATGTTGTGTGAATGATTTATTTTATTTGAAGTAAACGAAGTGAACTCAAACCCAGAAGCCAGTCGAAAAGTGTGTATCTAGTTACCGAATCACCTTCACTACACTATTTGAACTACCGCTTATAATAATCAGTCCTGTACAATCCTATTTTTCTGTCGATCTCATTTTCCACACTACATGCTTTTTTGTTTTTTGAAATAATTACTTTCGGATTAACTTTTATTTAGTGGGACACCGACACCGCACCAAACAGAAAATGGTCAGAACAATATATGTAGATCAGATTCTGAAGTGGATTTGAGCACATCGATTGAAAATAATGAAGAATCTCTATGGACTAGTGGAAATAAAGAACAAGTGTATGATAAAGATGAAAGAATTATATCCTCAAGTAATTCAAATGCTCCAATGATTCATTCGAATACTCAGTCTATCTCAGATTTAGAGGGGAAACAAGGCAAACAACAATTTGAGGTTTGTTGTTTAGTTTTGCAATAATTTTTTCACGTACATTACTAAGAATTACATAAAAGCGCCATTTTTCAGTTGATAGAAAATATAACATAGCTCAAACGTAAACGAATAGGCAGTTACGAGTTATTAGTTTTCTGTAATGTCCTAGTTTTGGAGGTTTATCTGACAAATTAAAAAAAACTGTAATATTGGACCTTTACACTCTTACTGTAAATACTCTTGTATTCGTTTTGCATGTTAGAGTTATAAATGGATGTTATTATTCATTAATATGAAGGAACAATAACTCTTCTCTAATCGCTCTGACCAGACGATCATTTTTGATCAGAATATTGTTAAAATATCTTAACAATCAATCCTAGATCAGCATGTAATTTCTAGTTAAATGCTCGTGTTCTATCGAATAAGTAATTACTTCGTACACTATTTTATTTATTTATTTCAACACATAAATATTGGTACAAAAGGGTACCAAATATATATGCGCCACACCATATTTGTGTGTGTGTTTGGGCTGTGATACAGCCCGGGTGTCCAGACCGAAACAGGTGGTTTTCTTAGGGGACCACACCCTGAGCCTTTGACCTAAAGGTCTGACCCATAAGGTAAAATTTGTTTCCAAAGTTATGCTAATGTATGATGAAAACATTTACTGGGCTATTTTGAATTTACGTGCAAAAAAAGGTTCTGTGGCAGTGTCTGTCTCAGTACTCAGAAGTACATAAACCTTGTGAAGGCTCTTTACCAGTACCAGTTGAGTTCGCTTATGGCTAACTGTAATCTGATTTTGCAACCTAAAGTAGTATCCGACAAGACTATCTACCATCTTCATTTCTACTTAATTTCATCGTAGACCTAATGCTGGAAATAACGTTCTCGTCAACTGAATTTTCAGGAATTGATCTCCTTCCAGGAGGACAAGGTTGTGAATCTTCATCGACTGAGATGGTTGGGCCACGTGTTTCGTATGCCTGAACACCGATTACCACGGCGCGCAGTGCTGATTGGTGTTGGGGATGATTGGAAGAAAGTTAGGAAGAGCCAAAGCATGGCATCAGTTCTTGAAGTCACTAACTTCTGTTTTGAGCCATGTTGGTAGATGCAGACTACTTGGTTGGGGTCCGCGCGACTATCGTAACCAATGAAAATAATATAATGTATTTGTAATATCTCAATGAGTAGAAATGGATTTGGCTATTTATTCTCTGAGGAAGTGGCTTACACACAGTCACGAAATGTAAGAAAATTTAATTTTTCTACTCATTGGAATATTACAAATATATTAATTTATTTATAACAATCTACCCAATGCTCAATTTGTTCGAAATTATCAAGTCAAACCCTTGTAATGATATCGTAACCAATGGTTAGAGTCTCTTTGTGACATGGCTTAGAATCGTTCACATTGGCGCAAATGTATACACTCTTTGTCTTCCCTTAAACCGTGAGATTAAAATTGCTCCATACCTATCTTCAGACGAACTAATTCTTTCTTCTTGTGTTATATTCTCATACACAATCTTTCTTTTGTATATTACTACCATTGAAGTAATTACTTCTATGAATTCGGTGTTGATCTTGTTGTGCCAATAAGGTTTGGCAGCTTGAACAGATGCATATATGCGCCTGGCTTTCGTTGTAGCTGACCGACTGACTGAGATGCAAAGGTCTAACCCGAGTGTGAGTGATATGGTCGTCACTATAGTCCAATATTAGAAGACTAACTCCGATGAGATTAGGTCAATAAAAGATAATTGCGAATATTGGTTTGGTCTGTTTAGATGAATGTTAATTTTCTGTATGAGGTTTTCATAATTCTAAAAATCATTATTTAAGTACTTTAGATTCCTAAGATCAACTATAATTGCATAGGTGCATCTATTTTTCTAAATCTTTTATGTTTATCGTGATTTCCTCTTGTTTGTTAACTTCCTTCTTCCATACTTATGTGAATTTTTGGAATTTTACCGATACATTTCATTGTCAAGTTTGTTGTGGTGTGCTTATCTGTCAAGTAAATATTTTACGATGTTTATTATTAGTGCCATATTGTCAAAGCTGATTGAAAATGTCACATTGATCTTAATGTAATCGGTAGTCCGCTTCATCATTTTCAAAAATAAATAACCCCTGTCTAATGGATGCGCCGTTGTATAAGAAACTGCATTTCTGCCAAACTTTAATTATCGAATCAAACCTTGGTAATGATACCTACAAACTTTAATTCGTTCATTTCTGTTTATTATTCTCCATTTAATTAGTGTATTAAAGCTAATACTGATACACCAGCATCACCTACTGAATTGTTAACCACGGTGCCCACATCTAATTCAAATATGTCAAGTAAGATTATCCCTATATCTCCAACAAGTATGAAGTGTCTCAACTCCACTGGTTCAATATCGGGTTCTAATATGAAGCCCAACATAGTACGACATAGCTCTTTACGTTTCGAGAAGAAAAGTGGATCTGGGCGTTACTCTCGATTAGGGGGAGGTGTAAATGGGATGATGATGCATGGGGGTCTTGTTCAACGTAGCAACTCCGATAAGTTAGTGTAAATGTTTTTGTAAAATTGTATTGTTTTTGAAAATTATTATTTTTTCCTATTATGTGTTTTGTAATTTTATTTTACGTAGAATAGAAGGTTTAGTTGCATATATATAATAACGAAAATTAGACAGTTGCTTCATTACATAGTATATAAAAAGAATTGGCTGTTTTTTGTTAAAAGGTCAGTATTATAGTACCTTTGTAAGAATCGAGAGACGGTTTTTCAGATTATGTAAAAATACAACGTAAAAGAAATTGGAAGATTGTTTATCAAAGCTCACTCTTATACTGATGGCGAAGGTAGTGAGAGTGTTTTCTGCACCTCATTTATTAACCTTTGATTTACAATTTCTTCGGTAGCGTTATTTAGGAATTTGCATAGAATATTAAAAAGAAAGCCCCTTATTGTTTAATTAGTATCCAGGTAATTTGTTTATGCTTTCTCCTTGCGTATATTTAATTTGTTTAAAAATTGTCATCAGTTTTCATACAATAATTATTATATTTGTGCGTAAACTGTGTAGTTTTATGTTTGGTACTAACTTATCATTTAAAATAGTTAATACTTTGTTTGCTAAATTTACGGAAAATTGTTTTTAACATATCCTGTTGATTTACAAATTATCGTTACTATCGCTCGAGCATCTGCCATTGTAGTTGTGTAATATCCTTCATTTTCGTATGCGATCATACTCGTAATGACTAATTTTCTTTTTTTTTTTGTGTTTGATAATTTTAATAGTTACAGTCATTCTAGCGGTGTACATGGTCATTCAAATCGTCTCCCACGTGGTGGAATGAATAATCCGGTAAATTCAGTTTTCATTACTATTTCTTTTGTTAAATTATCTTCAATACTATGAGTTTGCTATAATCTGTATGTTAAAAAGTTTATGCAAGGCTGCAACAGTAATACAGATTTGTTCAAAAGTACATTCCTATACGTATGTAATTTACTGTTGAAACATCCTTCTTTTCTCAGTAATCAAATTTTTTTTCTTGTGATGACTTGAAATGTTATGTTGTTTCGTTTTGATTACAAGTTATTGGTTATATTGAATGTCACTTTTGTTAACTGATGTGTGTCAGTGAATGATTTTTTTTATTCTTGCCGTATTCACATTTGAACTCCTAAATACGTCAATTTTCAGAGAGATAACAAAATAACAACACATTGTAATTTCTGAATGATGAATGTAACTAAAAGATAGACTGAAGTTTAATAATGTTTCAGAAATCAAGATTATAGAGCAAGAAAACGTTTTGTTTAACAGCAAAGTATATAAAATAATGATTTTCAAATAAGTCGTTCTTAGTCACCCAACGAATTCTTTCCATAAAATCAAGTCAATTGGTGATAGATTGCACAAAGTTATAGTTGTAGCCTATTTACTTATATTCGAAGATGAGATTATTTAAAAAATTAGTGTGATCTAGTCAGCATTACATCTTTGTAACTTGATGGTATACTTCTAGTATTGTTTACATGAATTTGACTCAACCTGTTACTCAGTGAACATTTCAATATTGTACATTTGTTTGTCACTTGTTTAGTTGATATCGTTCTGGTTCATTTAACTGTTCCGTGTGTTCTTACTAGCCTGTTCAAATGAGTAACTTCACAACTTGAATCGATTGCTCTGTGGTCAAGTAATCATGGTAAATACTTGACCAAACGAGCTATCGTTCACATGCGTCACAAATAGCTCAGATTCGTTCGACATGAGACAAAACTCGGGTAGAAAAATTGTCGTTTTATCAAGCACATGTTAATTTGTATGTGTTCACAATGTACTGTATTTATTACGGTAATCAGAACCAACTAAGGAAACAAAATATACTACTCTCGCTATCCAACTAACGAAATTAATATTTCTGGGTGTACAGGTATATAAATGGTACTAACTTTGACAAGGAAAAATTATTTGAGAAGCTTGTATTTTCAATCCTAATGTGAACCGTCGTTGCTGTTAATTAAACGTACGTTTGATAGTTAGATTGATCTAGTCATAACCATATCTTATGATAAAATCGGTTAACGATCATTCAAAGAGTCAACAGCTTATCGTGTGTACACATAAATATTATCTGTTATTATTAAGGGAACATTGGATTCCATCAATCTATTGTTATTTAGTACATTCAAAAAGATATTCCCAGATGTTTATATATTTTATTAGTATACTATAGATTTGAGATTTGTTGTTAAATGCTACCGTAAATTTGGTAACATTTTTCTGTTTATTCTCATATAGACCAATGTGTTAATACGAGTTTCAACCGTTATATCATGAGTTATATTTCTAGTCCTTTTACACTACAAGTTTAGCTGAAAGCTAGATTTTTGAATCTAAACTTGATTGTTGAGTTGCATTGAATTTCATATGTCTCAATGTGTGTAAATCCAATGGAACGTGGCCATATGCTTTCAATTTTCTGTTATTTTTATTCCTTCTTGATAGTTTCATATTATTTTATTATATAGTCTAGTGTAGTAATAAAGTACAACTCAGTAACCAAGTACAAATATATTTTCTCAACTTCATGTTAAACTTTTATAAGGGCTATATATACTACTAGATTGCCTAAACCTTAGTAGACTATGAATTATGTGTTTAGAAAAATGTAACTTATTAGTTAATAAATTAATATACTAAATAATTATTTAATCATCACTCCATTATAAGACTAGCGCATAATACATAATGATAAATAATTATACTCTTATAATCCTCTTTTAGGAATACTGGCACAAAAACAAAGTGAGTAATAAATAACCAAAACAATATATTTTCACTACTAATCACAGCTAATATAACTCAATTATATATTATTTGTTTGTCCTGTAGTGATTTGTGTATTTTTCTCAGTACAAATCTTTTTTATTCTACACTGCAATCATAAATATTTTTATGTATATCTATGTTTTCTTTTATTTTTTCTAAAAAAGAAATCACTTGACTATAAATGTCCTAAGATTTTGCAGATCTCTTCTTGAGATTAGTTTAAAATATAAATTATTAGTATTTACTACTCATGAATTAGTTTATTTTTATGTTCAATCTATCAAATTTGGTAATCAAGAAAATTATTAAAATTTACTTTTCCTGATTAGTGGTGTTTTACTTTTTTGTTTTTGTTTTTAAAAAGAAATGATGTTTAGCTATTCAGTTGTGTTGTTATTCTATAGAATAATATTATGGTTCAAAGCGGTAAAAACGAATGTCCTAGATTACACCTTTTATGTTCACTACAATATGAATAGATTTTTTCTTTTTATTTAAAATATCTACTAACCTAATAATATAATAACATTGAACCCTAATTGTATTCATCTGGTTAACTGCAACAAATTTTATAATCCATTCATTTTGCTCTGATATTTAATCTTCATCGGTAAATAATTTTAATATTACTGGACTCATATTTATGTATATCTTTCAGCGATAATAGAGAGTTATTGAAGTTATGCTATGAGGAAAATTTACTAATCATTTGTTGTCAGGTTGACAAATAGCTTTGTTTTCCATCTCATAACATAAGTGACCTTTAAAAAATGCAACAAAACATACCATCTAAGTAGTTTGGTATAATGTCCTAAGTTTTTGACATAAATGTGTTGTTATTTCTGTCCGCATTATTTTCTACTGAAAACATAGTTCTTTGAGCTTCAATAGGTTATATGTTTGTAAAATGAGATCGTTTTCATTGTGTTTTTTTACCTAGCGTCATAATAAAGCACCAAATTTTAAACCACCATCGAATTGGGGTCCGATGAATATGGATTATGGTAACATGGGCGTAGCACCGTCGTCTTCTTCATCTTCTGCTCCTGGTTCATCATCCATCGATATTAATAATAGTGGGAATATGGGTCATTGGATGATGCCTTCTGGTGGGAATATCAATCAGAATAATCCAAATATGATGCAGTATAATAATCCACATTCTATGCAACATCATCCATATCATTCAGCCCTTAATAATAGACCTATGCGACCAAGTTATAATATGAATGGAACTGCCGGGCATAATCCATACAATACTGGTATGATGCGTGGAAATAAAAAGTAGTATTTTTTTAACTAACCAAATGTTGACTGCTAATGAAGATTACCTATATGTATGTACATATATATATATATATTTTATCGACCTCTTTTGCTACTAAATCAAATTTCCCATTTGTTCTCTAATCTTGTTTTTATTGAAATAATTTTGCACAAATATGAACTATTTGTGATGGTGTTTCTCTCTTTTTTTTAAAAAAAAGGACAAGAGGATCTTCAGTGTATTTTCTTTTGTTAGTTACTTTGTTCACTACTTGACTTGTTTTTTTGTTGTCGCTGCGTATAATGAGATAAATATTGTGATGATAATACTGATAACTATGATTATTGATACTGCTCATTTGTTCTTTATCCTCGTAAATTATTTATTTGTATTTTGCTTTCAATTTTTCTCTTCCGTTTTTAACTTGATAGTCGTCTTCATATCGCCTTTGAAATATACGTGATCATATTTATTAATTATTTGCTTGTGTAAATAATGAGCACAAATTTAGAAAAAATATATACTCACTGCTATTCCTTTAATTCAGTTGTGTGCAAAACCTTTTAAATTAACATGAAAATTCGTTCAAAGTATAACGAATACTTGCTGAAAGTTTTAGAATATTTTTGTATAGTATACATATTAAATAAAATTGATAGGTGGAAACATGATTACTCAATGGTTGTCTATTTCTCACTGATACCAGGGATCTTGTCTTCTATCCTACAGTATTATTTATTTTATTGTCTTTCTCGTACGCTTGATGAATATCCTATGCAAACAAGCTGATTATAGTCCTTGGATATGCGTCTAGATTGACCAGTCAAAGAGATATAGATGCTTGATCAAGTGAATAATAGGCACTGCACACTTGTACTTCTCACATACCGTATGCCTTTACTAACTCATGCCTGTCCTTTATTACTATGTCACATCTAACATTTGAAAGTAAGTTTTCCTTCTTGAATCCATGTTTGATAGTTGAGGTGAGTGCATAGCCGAATATATTAATACTGAAACCTTTAATAAGTGTCAAATCAACTCTATTATATATTTCTCTAATAAAATAAAAACGATAAAAAGTGTTATAAAACATTATTTGTCCAACCACACTTTACCAAGAACTATATAAGATAAAAGTTTCGTAGAAGGAAATTAGAGTATAATTTATTGAACTGAAATAAAATTCTTGATTTATATATAAATTCTAACAAAAATCCATTTGAATTAATAGCCTTATATTTAGGTATTAGTTATTCATATAATGACCTAAATTAATCTTTTAGCGAATAAACCAACGTAGAGAGGAGGGTATGTGCAATTATATTAAAATAATCTGTATACGTTAATGATTAATAATAGTAATATAACAACAAAGGTCCTGGGTTCGAATCTCGCGGGGACGGGGTCGTGGATGCGCACTGCTGAGGAGTCCCGTAATAGGACGAAACGGCCGTCTAGTACTTCCAGGTTCCCCATGGTCATCTAGCTTCAATTGACTCATGATTTCAATCAGTGAAGTATACGAATTTATTGAAGCATTGGCTATACGGAAACTGAAACCCCTTTATGTGTTCAAAAGCGATTTGTTCTTACCCTTAACCTACCCTGGTAATACTGATTTATTATCCAGAGTGGTTATCACGTTGTTTTCGTGTACTTTATTTTCTTAGTTACGGATTACCTTTAACTTATCTAGTTGACCTTTTATTTTTCATATAAAAAATATCTTAACAAGTACATGTGTGATTAGATTGTTCGAAATGTATTGCGCAAATATATCACATAATTCTGATAACTTTCATCTTCTCATTGCATTATCGAAATTAAATAGATTACTAAAATGTTTGTAAGAAGACAGCATGAGTTGACGAGCGTGTTGTAATTTGAATATTAACTCAAAATATATACATTAAAAAAACCCCAACAGTAAATAGGAATTAATTGTTCATAGTTATCAGTAGCAGCATGCATAAATGAAATGTTTTTCATGATATTGATGCGAAATTTTACATTACTGTTAAATACAAGGTAGTATATTCATTTGATGTGAAATATTGAATAAAATGTCTTCAGATTAAGCTACTTCCTTGTTTTATACTAACCTCAATCAATGGCTATTAAATATGAAGTTTTTTTCATTACATAACTAACATAAGTTTGCAAAAAGAGATTGAAAATCAAGTAGCATTCGACAGTTATTTCTTTCGAATTTTGGAGTCTACATCAATATGTACTCAAAATATTCTTAAACCATTAAGTCGAATTACCACATTCAACGAATTTCAGTTCAGTTAATTCTTGAGATTACAAGACCACTACACATTATTTTCACCAGTGACTAGCTTAAAGAAGGCTTGAAGTTTCAATGAGAAGTCATGAGCATTGGATTTCACCCCTGTTGAAATATATATATATATATATATATATATATATATATATATATATATATATATATATATATATATATATATATATATAGTGTACTTGGTACACACCTGATACTTAATGTTATAATCGTACAGTACATTAACATAACACAAATCGTTCTGTGGACTAAACGTTTTTCAAGTAGTTAAAAACCACACTACTTCCATTTATTTAATTTCACCCTCTATCTCCTTGGAGTTGAATACCTGAAATGAACTCTTCCATCACATTTCTTATTTGTCTTTTATTACTACTGTTCTTCAGCGGAAATATCTTAAGTGCTGAATAAGAAGTTAACTGGGAAATAATGTTTTATTCATCGTCGTCATCATGGAGTCAACACGGCTTCACATAATACCAATAGTATTGTCTGAAATGTTCCTAAATAGTAAGTACAAAACACTAAATATCAATTCAGAGGTTTAACACTACTATTCTTTCCATAAAATCTTTACACTATATGCCTAGTTCCGTCTGAGACCTTAAGTATACGCCGTTGCAGAGTACCAGGCTATTATAAAAGAAGTGGTCTTACCTGCTTACTCACAACTAATACCCCTCGTCGAGGAGCATAGGCTGCTAATCAACATTCTCCATCGAACTCTGTCCTCGGTGATCCATTCCAGTTGCCATTTATCCTTTTTATGTCTGCTTCCGACTCACTACATAATGTGTTCATTAGTCGTCCCCTTTTTCATTTCTCTTCACTTTTCCAAGTTAGCGCTTGCCTCATGATGCAGTCTGATGATTTCCGCAATCTATGCCCTATCCACTTCCAACGCATTTTCTTATAGTTTATAAATAATTGTACTTCTTTGATAATGATCGTGGTAGTTCCCCAAGTTCCAGCTCCGTACAGTGGGACTGTCTTAACGTTAGTATTGAAGATTCTGACTTTAATATTGGCTGACAGAGTGCTGTTTTGAGTCACATATGTTCTTCAACTGCAGAATGTTGCCCTCACTTTGCCGATCATTGCATTCACTTCAGCATCAGATTCTGCTTGGCCATCGATGATACTATCCAAGTACGTGAAAGATCCCACATTTTCCAGAGTCCCTCCATTAGGTGTGATTCGTTTGGTTCTCTCCATGTTGTATTTGAGGATCTTGCTTTTCCCTTGTGTATGTCGTAGCCCACTGATACACAGAATTATGTTTCACTGTTTGTTTCGACCTGCATTTATTGATGTGTATGGGATAGAAGAGCTAGGTCATCCGCGAAGTCCAAATTTTCTAACTGATTACTGCCTTTCGTAAAACTGATCTTCACCGTTATCATTGATGGACGCATAACATTCATTATGATCCCCTCCTTCCTTGTTTTGAAGGACACTTTGATGATCCTGGATCCATGAGATTCTCATCCAATAAGTTCATTTCGTGCCTCTTTGAACACCATCGAGATAACTTCCTACATGTGTGGAGCATTTTTCTTTGGATCAGAGTACAACAATATCTCTCTCAAGTCTATCCTTTTTGTTCAGCTTCGGTACAATGGGTTTTACGTATTCCAAGCACCATCAAGTCGTATCTCCTCATTTCCGTGGCTATTTGACTGATCCTCCTGGTCTCTCACATTGTCCGAACATTTCATATACCTATAAAAATTGTTGTTCTGGTTGTTAGAAGGGGCATCAGCCCAGTGACGTTCGAAGATTCTCGGTTTTCCCCATCAGGCTCTTCTAGTTCTTGTAAATAAATATCCTTCAACTCCCTAGGCAGAGTTAAAATGGTTTAATTGTTTATTCTGATTGGCGTCTTTTAGCAAGATTGTTTTCTACTTGATGTGATTGCCGACCTCATACCCAACCATCTTCCTTTACCCGTGCTTGGAACCGACAATAATCTTAGAAGAGCTACATGCGGAGGTCAGTAACAATTAAATCTGTAAATGACATCAGTATGTGATAAACACTTACTTCAAACCGAATAATGCCCATCAATTCTATATCTTATCATCATTGTTATCATTGAACATTCACAAAAATTATCTCATACTAGAAAAGTAATGTTTTCCTAAAATTGGTATGTTCGATAGACTAATTCATCTAATTTAATTATGCGAGTATATTTGAATATCTTATGTTAAGAAAATGGTTAATAAACTTGCATCATTTATGTTATATATCAGTAATACTAAGGTAACACACATGTATGCTGCCAAATACTTGATACTGTAGAAATATTTTTATCAATTTAGCATTGACGAAATCGAACCAATGAAAAGGTTGGTGCATTTTAATATACCATAAAACCTAGATAAAACAAGTCAGTTAGACATCATTTGCTATTGATCCTATCAAGCTAGTTGTCTAACTTTAACGAAATTGTGACAGGTCCTATTGTTTGGTTATCTAGTTTTTGAATAAGATTTCTTTTTCATTGGTTTAGTAATGTTTTATTTCCAAGTAGCTTCTCAAACTTCTGAATGTTATATTTTTAATACAGAATCACTCTGAAGATCCCTTTTTTAGCTGACATTATGACTGAGTCTTAAATAGCTCTCAGCTTACCTAAAGCTTTGTTCTTTTGTGATGAGCTAAGAATGATCCTTAATTTACCGAGTCAGGTATCTTACTGCCTCGCCTATTTTTTGCCATATTTCTTCGTTTAATTTTGCTGCTTAGAATGAAAACTCTGGTTTCTTCGAAGAATTTTCGAAAAGCAAACTTTAAACGAGGCTCAAATCAATCACTAATTAGAATATATTATATACCCAAGCTTAGTAGTGTTGAAAAAACAATGCCTGTAATTTAAAACAAATGTCATCACATAAATGATTACGTCACACCCTATTATAGTGACCAATTTATATTCATATGCTTGTCAGCAAATATATCTAAAGTGGACTAAATTAGCTACAACCCCCCCCTAAAAAAGATTTATTAATTGAACTAATGATAAATCATTTTTGATTAAAAAATAATAAAATTTATGTTGTTTCTTTCTCCTTGTTCGTTTACAGAAAACGTGTTCTGTATTAAATTCAATCAACATAATAAATAAATTACTTGAATATTATTACGTAATATTCAGTCTATACAAACATACAGATAGATATTTAATTAAAAAAACCCAGTATTATTGAAAAAACTTTGTTTCTATCCAATTAGATTAAATTACATAATATTTATTTATTAATAGTTACATTGTTATTAGTTTCTTATGAAAGAAACCATTTTTATACTGAACACTTTATACAAACAAATAATGTTATGGTTAGAAATTCTAATTTGGAGTA